GATGCTCCATCCCACTTGCCTGCCCCCCCACCAGTCACGATGGCCAATTTGCTAGTAGTTTATATAAATATATAACATATAAAATAATCATGTTACTTGTAAATGATACTAAAAGTGATATAACATTATATTATATTAATAACAACCATAACAGCTCCTAATTGTAGTGGTGTGTGGTACATACTGGATACAAATATTGAGTACCTTTATTTCATGCAGTTCTTTAAATGCATTTTTTTCCTTGTTTCTTGTAGTAAGCAGCAGATCGACATTCTGCCGGGCCAAAATGTGCTGAAAATTATACAAGATCGTTTTGGAAGTAAGCTTCTGACTCTTGTCTTTTAGTCTCTTTGAGTTGTTATTTGAAGAATAAATTGTAACCCTCTCACCAGTTGCACTTAATGAAATGAGTAGTTGTATGATTATTTGTTCCTTTTTGGTACTGTGTCTACATAGTGCAGACAACAAAATGATTTGTTTAAAGCATGGTTCTGAACCATTTTAGACTTGAGGCACACCCCTTGATAGACTTCAGACGATTGAGGAAAATGCCTGCTCTTTGTTTTCACTTGCTTTTTGGCTTGAAAGGATTTCAAGGCACCCCAGGGTCTGGTTGGGATTCATTGGTTTAAAACATCTGAAAACTGCACAAATTGTTCTCTTCTTATGCTTTATTTAATGCAGCTCTACTCTTAAGATTGATACAGTAATTTGTAACTATTACTGCGTAGCAAACTCTTTTCTGCAGCTTTTGTTTTGTGTAGTGTTAAGGCTGGTATGGTTTTTACATTATGCATCATGCAGTGGCAAGTATAATTCCTCATAAGATGCTGTAGCTTCACATATCCAAATGAATTCAGCTGTCTGAATGGCTTTCAGAGGGTGCTTTCCAAAGGATTCTGTGTAACTGAAAATGTACTGTACTTAAAAGATGAAAATTATGTACTATTTATCTTGTTATATTTATAACTTTTTCTTTTTAGGTTGTGTTGATGATATTACAACATATTCTCCAAACCTAACACGGTGCTCAACCCCCATTGATATAATCCAAAAAGAGAAAGAGGTAAGTTACAGTAACTTGTAAGCAGGTTTCTTTTATTGTGGTTTCCTTCCATTGGACTAAAGAAGCTTGTTTGTGGATCAAGTATGTGCACTGGTGAGTGCAGTTAGCTTATATATTTTTGTGTTATAATTTAGGCCTCTATTGCAACCATTACAATTATTTTTCTGTGGTTGTCATGACAGAATAATCTGGTCATATATTTTTATTAAGTCTGTCTCTCTGCTGCACAAGACCCTTTTTTTTCATCAGTGGTAGTTGGTCAATAGCTTTATTGCGATGTTTTCTGCAAAAACTTTCAGTTGTTTTGCTACTTGTTTTCTGCTCGTCTACCAATCAGGTATATGGTTATGTTTTCCTAAGCAGATGGAGCCAGTATAATTAAGTCTTTGAAAGATGAATTTTGTTTTAGATGTGTACTCTGAAGGGGCAATATTGCTTGCAAGTTTTGAAATCTAGTTTTGCAAATCCTGAAGTAGATTTCAATTATTCAAAAATGAAATATTTGAATCAATTCAACCTGATGTAGAGAAGTAGGACCTTGCTCTTGGTCTCCCAGAAAGTTATTGCCAGAGCTGGGACTTGAATCGTCAAACAACACAATAAGTACGCAGAAACTCTTAATAATTTATTGAAAGTCTGTAAATAACTGAAAATAAAAGTGTTGAAATGTGATAAAGTCTTCTTTATGTAACTTCAGATAAGCTTAAGAGCAGAAAATACAGCTATGTGCTAAATGCTTTTATTGTTGTTGTATGAAACCATTTCCTTTTCTACTTCTTCTGTTGTTCACTAGAAAATATTTCAGAAAAGTTCAGGTTTATTTGACTTGGTGACTAAGACCTTTACTGGTAGTCCATCTTTAACTCTATCTCCAGTGAAAACAGCTGACAGCACAGGTTAGTGCTACTACCTTTGAACTATTACATTTTTGGGGGGGAAACTGGTTTTTGGTTTCTTTGTTTGAAGCTAATACCATTTCATACTTACAGCAGAACAGTCACTTGCAACACATCAGAAATCTGCAATACTTAAAGACATTGATTCTAATGAAACAAAGCAGCGTGTGGTAGAAGAAAAAAGCTCACATGACAATGACATTGCGGACACTAAGGATCTCGTTGCTTCTAGCAAGCAAGATGATGTCTCAGAAGATGTTGAAACCACAAGTCAAAATCTTGCTGACACTTCTGAAGATGAGGATATGGATGTGGCCATGGGGTCACCTGTTCTTTTGGAAGAAGCAAAACTGTCTCCTGTGTGCTTGTAAGTAAAGCTGCATTTTTTGGTGATTTTTAAATTTGCAAAAGAGAACAGTTTGTCATCCTGTATCAAATTTGACCTGAATTCACAACTTGATTAATGTTGGCTAGTAAAATGTTTCAGGGTAGTTTAACAAAACTAGGGGGGGTGGAAGGAAGTATCAATGCTTCACTTTATCCAGTAGTTTAGTGTTTTTGGTACACTTCCCAGGATGTGTGCAAGCTAGTTAAATTCTTCCTTTTCCTGAAGGAATTAATCTGTAACTGCCATGCTCCAGGGGAATTTAAGGTGGGGGTGTGTGTGTATGTGTGTGTTTGCAACCCTGTCAATAAGGTGTGTTTGTTTCATTTTGTAGAACTAACTAACCTTATACCCAGGGATCCAGGTTTTTCATTTTGTGTGGAAAAACACAGATTTTTCCCTTCAATGGAGAAAGTCACAGACGTTCCAATTTCAAGGAGAAACACCCAGATATTCCCCTTTGAAGTGGGAAACCATGGGTTTGCCCTTGCAGACTGGGAGAGTTCCAGCCTTCCAGGAGCTGCTTGGTGGTGGAGGGAGCTGGGGGCAGACGATTGGAGGCTGCAGAGCAGGGGGCACCATGTACATGTGCGCATGCACACACACCTGGCCAGCAGCACAGCCATGCAGAGTGGTGGGAGCAGCTCCATGCTGGTAAGTCCATTGGTGATATGTTGGGAGAGGTGGATGAGGGGGCATGTGCCCCCCCAGATTTCTGTGCTGACAGTGGGGCTTGAGGCTGCAGTGTGGCTGGAACCAGGGCCTGGTAGCTGCTGCAGATGGTGGAGCACGGAACCTGGCATGGCTGGAGTGGAGGTGAGCAGAGCACATGGAGGTGGGGGTAGGTTGCAGGCTCCCCACTATGGGGCTTGGGGCTGTCGCCAGGGGCTAAGTGGGGGATCTGTTAGAAGGTTTCTGGGGGGCTCTTAGGTGGGTCAACAGGTTGCTAGGGGAGTTAGAGCTGCTAGGACGTGTGAGGCTGCAGCCCAGCAGGAGCCAGTACCCTGTAGCGGTAGAGGCAGGGGTGGTGCGGAGTTGTGCCCCCTTCATTGTGTCCTCAATCCCCCTCCCCCTCAGACATCACCGTAGGGCGTCCTTTAAATCATGGCACAACTCGTGGCATGGTGGCCCCTTTAATCTTGGAGTTCTCCCTGCGCACCACCCCTTCACTGATTTGGCTGATGCACCCGCCCGCCCTGCCACTTGCTCCTGAAGGCCGGGAGGTACAAATAAGCTGTGTTTTTTGCGTCCTACTACTTGCTGCTGATTGGATGAGACCCCAAAACCACCGGCATATTTGTAACTGCAAAACTGGCCATCAGGAGCGTGCTGCGTGTGGTGGGGCTGACAGCCCCAAGCAGCAGTAGTGGGACATGTGGGGAACTTTAAGAGTAAAGGAGCCACATTTGTGTGAGCTGCACTGTGTTTTAAATCAGGCCCTACAGGGTATAGGTAAGTTCTTGGGGTGCGGGGGAAGCGGGGCTGGAAGGCCAGGGTTTGGGGACCATCCCTGCATCCTCGGGTCCGGAGGCTGAGCTCTGGCAATCTCGATCCGGCCTTGTGCCATTGGAGGGACCCCAGTGGCATGGCATCGGCCTATCTGCCTGGTTAGTAATTGGCTATCGGTATCGGCCAAGAAAATATTTATTGGTGCACCTCTAGTAACAACCATTTAGCTTCAGCTTCACTGAAGACAGTTGGGGGGGGATCCAAGCTAAATCTCCTCCAAGATTTGCAGTGGAATTCAGTGGTTGACTGCTTTGAGTTGCTCATTAAGAACTGGCTTATTCTGATGACCATTTGGTGAGGAAAATTGTGACAAAATTGACGAAAGTATCACAGCTAGAGTAGTCGACATTGGACTAAAGAGAAATTTTGAAGGTATGCTGAATTCACTAAAACCTATTTCCATAGCCTTAGACAAACTACCACAAGATTGCTGCCATATTGCCTATGCCGTTGGAATTTGGAAAGAACTTCAAGAAACAAAGCAAGAAATACCCAACAGCAAAGTTAAACTGTAGGCAGTAAAGAAGAGGATGAATCGGGCACTTACTCCACCTCATTTTTTGGCTGTGTCCTTAACACAAAGTACCAAGTTAAATGCCTAGCTGGTGAAGAGGACAATGCTATGACAGGGCATCTACTAATCACCCATCAGTCGTAATACATTTCAGTGCTAGACATGAATCATTCAAGTAGGATGTGTGTCCTGAGGATGTTTTAAGAAAATCACAGCACTGCACTGGTGGAAGTCTCTAATAAAGCACCTGGAGCTAGAACTAGTTGAAGTGCTAAACCAGCTTTTTCCAGCAGTAGCCTGTTCTGCAAGTGCAGAAAGAATATTTTCTTCATTTGGACACGGTTCTTTCAAAGCTGAGAATTAAATTTTTGGGAGTTGAAGAAGTAGGAAATCTTGTTTTTTCTCTTCCAGTCTATGAATAAAGAGGAGGAAGAGGATGAAATTTAGGAGTTCTAAAAACGTGAAAGAAGGGGCATGAAAATTTTAAAAATAGCTTAGGTAAAAAAAAGTCCCATTTGAAAGAGAACTAGCTAAGTAGGAACTTAAAGCTCAAATGACTTTCATTTACACATTTTAGAAAATTTTCCCTAGGGTGTCCTTAAATAATTGGCTTAATTCACTTACGACTATTCAGACTTCTAATACTACAGCAAGTGCTGTGACATCCGGCACTTTACCATCTGGAATGCTCCACGAACCGGCATCTGTCAATACAACTGTTCCTTCTGAGGGACGTGGCAAAAGCGAAACTGTAAGTCCCACTTCTGGTTTTGCTGCCATGAGCCGAGTCCCACTTCTTCCTTGTGGACCACAGCCCGGGACAGAGCAGCCTGCATGGGGGCCCTCTCCCTGTCCCCCGGCACACTGATGCCAGGAAGTGAAACCCCTGGTGCACCGGACGCAGCATATTTGATTAACCGGCATCCCCCATTCCTCAAGGATGCTGTATAACTGAGCTTTTACTGTATCACAGCTGATACTAGTTTTTAAAAAATTAGTTGCACATGTGTACCATGTTTTGATTAAAAAAAAAAAAAAAAAGTTTTTGCATCCAAAACATCAGGGTAGATAGAAATCAATGATTTAAAAACAAAAAAAAATGGATTTTAAAAATGTAAATAAAATTATTTTGATTTAATCACATTTTTGTTGTTAAGATGCTTTAAAAAAAACCCTATATAAAGATAGTTTTAATTTGTTAATGGTCAAAGATATCATCATGGAATAGGGATTATAACTTCTAATTATATACAATAGCAAAGAGAGCTGTGGAATGCTAGAAGACTGAGAAACCACCTGTAGCATGTCTGTGCACTGAACAGACATTATAAGACAAGTAGAGACATACCAAATTCACAATTTCACTGATTCCATGAAATCTGGCATTGGCCATGGAATCTGGGCAATGCCTGCAAAACCCGTGGAAAAAAAGAAAAACTTGTGGAAAAGAAAATGCTGGTTCCTCAGAGGGAGCCAGCAGTCCTCAGTGCACTGTGGCAGCTTCTTTCAGGTGTGGGGTAGGGGAAAGGCTGGCTGCTACCCCTACCCCTTACTGCTGATTGGCTGTGAGGGCTGCCTGTCATGTGGTCTTACTTCAATCAGCGGTAAGCGGTGGGACCACATGACAGGCAACCCCCACAACCAATCCATGGCGAGAGGTGGGGCAATTGGAGCACCTTGGCCACTCAGCGATGGGGAGGGGGGTGACCGCACTCTGCCTGTGGAATAGCAGCCTGGGCCTGCGTTCTGCCTGTGGAATCAGGGGCAAGCCCCCCCGCCCAATGAATTAGGTAGGTCCCTAATTATGTGTTGCTACAAAATGTAGCTCTACTGAGCTCTTCCTATTTAATCAAAGAACATTTCTCTAGTCAGTAGTGCTATAAGGACATATATAATACTATAAATGTAACTTCTGCTCATGTCAGTAGAAAGATCTCCACTTGAGAATACCTACCTTTACCTAATAGTTATGACAGTTGCCAGGGGAGTAGCAGACCTGAGTTCCGCAGAATTCACTTACAAAAAGTGAAACAATCAAATAAGAATAAAAGCTTTCATCTCGGGGTATTTCTTACTGAGACAAGAGGGACGTGCACCTTGATTTCCAGTATCCTAAGCAAGTGCCCTGATGACTAGGCTATTGCCATTTCTTCTACTTGTAGTTTTGTGAATTATATTTCAGTTTGTGAGAAACCTAAATGATAATTTCAGTTCCCGTTGAAGTTTTTTTTTTTTTGCCAGACTTAAGAAAATCAATTATTTATACAGCCCTGTGTACACGTGTGTGTGTTTGTGTGTGTGTGTTGATATGCAGTTATTTGTCAAAATATTTTTTCTTATAAAAGTATGCTATTTTGCTAACTTGTAAGTTGCAGTTTCTCCTGGTAATGTACCTGATCACTTTTTTTAAAAGTGTGCTTCTGTTCATAGTGCATGATTTTAAATGCTCTTTTTTTTTTTTTTTTACAGACATACAGAAATTGAAAGCTTGGCAGTATCTCAGTCAATGGAAGAAGATCAAGTTGCTCCAATGGAAAGAGTAAAATGTCTTACTGTGCCTTCTGAACAGAAAGTAAAGAAGCCTTTTTCTTCAGCACTCTTAACAGCCATGACAACAGAAACAATTGAAAAAAGGTGCGTTAATCTGAGTAATGTAAAGCTCCCAAGCTCCTCCTGGCCACCCACACAGTGACTACGAGCTTGCACTTGGGGAAGTGTGGGCAGTGCTGTGGCTTCTATGATGTGTGGCCCCTGCTGGTACAGTTCCTGGACCCTGAGAGCTTGGACAGCCCTTGCCCAGAGCAAGAGGCTTTCCAGTTTGTACTTTTTCATTTCCCCTTGTGCCCTTCCTATTCTTGAAAGTTGTTTCTGTCAACACCTGCTGCTTCCTTTCTTGTAGGCTGCGGAGTGAGGGAGGAAGGAAAGGAATGGTCTGTCTTGAAGCTGAACTCAGCACGCATGTGTCAGATGGAAATAGGAAGTAAAATACACTCCTTTTCCCCTCCTCTCTTGCCTTTACTGTGGTTCATCATGTTTAGTTAGTTGCTGCTGCTTCAGGTGACTCCTCCCTTACTAATGCAGGGGTTTACCTGGATTTGTGAACCATAGTCACCCTACTGAAAAGGAAGAAAAGACTTAGTTTAAGTTCTTAACAGTGAATGTCAGGGAGTCGAACTGTGCTGTAGGATTGTTCTTATAATCTAAACTTTGGCTTTTCAACTTTTAAGTACCTATACTAGTTAGTGTTCTTTTTAAACGACAGGGTCATTAGCTCCATAACTGGAATCGTCTGTCTAGGCAGTGGAGAGATGTGCTGTCTCTCTCGCTGCAGAAAAGAGGCAATGCTCTTTTGTTTGCCAAAGGTTGTCCACAGAATAGAGCACCTTATGGATTTTTCAGGTATCCTTTGGCTATTGTGAACCTTTATGGCATGCAGGAACTCTCCCTCAGTCCCCTTGCTCATTGTAAGTTTTGCAGGCATGGTATTCATATCCTTCATATCTGTTAACATCATGGTGGGGGCAGTGGGGGAAATTACACAATATGTGATTTTTAATGCCTGGTAACTTATTTGTATCAAAAAGATTTTTTTTTTAATTCTGTAGGCTGACAGATTACCAAACTCTGACAGTTTGTGCACCACCAATTTAAAACAATACAACCTTAAGTACCAGCAGCAAATTTTTGTTATCTAATGTAATTATAATAAATCTGTTAATGCGTACCACTGACAGGTTGTCTGTGTACCACAGTTTGGGAACCGTTGTTCTTGGCATTATCCAGTGAGGGTTATCATGCCATATTTCACCTTTTTACCACAAACTATTTTATCTGCAAAATTTAAACAAAAATGAACAACTTTTATAGAAATGTCTTTACTTCTATTATACTCAATAATATATGGATGATTTTCTTTTGAATTTTCAACAAAAATCTCATCTCCATGCAGATGACAAGGATAGTAAATGAAAGGTGAAAGTTACAGTGCAGTGTACTTCATTTAAGTGCATAGCCTTGGGATTGAAAAAGATTATTCATTTACCTGGAACATGCACTTAATCAAACTTAATGTAAACTATGCTTATTATGTATATAGTTCTGTTGGTGCTCTGGTATAAGTACCCCAGTCCTGAATTACTCCAATATTTCTGAGGCTTGTAATAACAGCCCTTTGAGAGCTGCTTCCTCTTCAATATTTCTGGTGTGGTTAGAGGTGGTACAAAGTGTCCTAAATATACAGTTAAAGATAGTTTGCTGGAAATGGGAGTAGAGGTAGGTTACAAAGTAGACAGTGGGGCTGGAAAATACTATGCACTTGGTTTGTGCAGATAACCAATATTTGCTGCAATGTAATCAATAGGTAACAAATTGGGGCTGGCATTGTGTTATACTGGGGTGGGCAAAATGGTTGATACCGCCTGCAGCTGGACTTCATTTCCCAGCAGCGCAGTGGCAGTGGATCTTGGGGCTGGAGCAGAGCTGTGATCCATTGCTTACCTGCCCCTGTGATGAGTGCCAGTTCTGTATGCAGTTGATCTCGGCTCAGTGGAATCAATGGAACTTATTTTGTGGAAACAGTGATGATGATATAAAATATCATGCAACAGCAGTAATACATAATTCTGATATAATAAAAGCCTTATTCTGTCTGTAATGCTCTGGTCCAACTGCGCATGCTCCACTAAGGTGCACGTGCTGATTGACTGTGAAGGCTTGGAGCATTATGGATAGAGGGGGTGAGGGAGCCTCCATGGGCCCCCCCCCAACAACAGCTGGTAGGGAGGGGGAGGCAGCGGGGAAGAGGGGCGGGTGGGGAGTGCGAGGGGGAATGGAAACAGGGAGTGTCTGGTGGCAGCGCCCACCACCACCGCATCACCCTCTGTTCCCCCCCGCTGCCACCGCCGCCCTTGCTGCCCGTCCCCGACAACAGGTCGCAGAGAGGGGAGGGCAGCGGGGAGGCAGGGAGAGGGGGCATGCTAGGGTGCCGCTGGCCACTGCTGCATGCATGCTTTCCCCCCGTACTCCTCCACCCATTCCTGAGAGCCAGCAGTGGCGTGGGGTGGGGGGATGACACACAGGGTCAGACGTTGGTTGTGGGGGGAAGCGGGGGCAGATGCAGGGAGTAGGTGTGCGCGGGGCCAGAGGCAGAGCAGCAGCACTGCGGGGCGCTGGGTGGCAGTGCTCCGTCCTTGTTCACCTGCCCCACCACCAGTCACGATGGCCAATTTGCTAGTAGTTTATATAAATATATAACATATAAAATAATCATGTTACTTGTAAATGATACTAATAGTGATATAACATTATATTATAATAATAACAACCATAACAGCTCCTAACTGTAGTGGTGTGTGGTACATACTGGATACAAATATTGAGTACCTTTATTTCATGCAGTTCTTTAAATGCATTTTTTTCCTTGTTGTTTCTTGTAGTAAGCAGCAGATCGACATTCTGCCGGGCCAAAATGTGCTGAAAATTATACAAGATCGTTTTGGAAGTAAGCTTCTAACTCTTGTCTTTTAGTCTCTTTGAGTTGTTATTTGCAGAATAAATTATAACCCTCTCACCAGTTGCACTTAATGAAACGAGTAGTTGTATGATTATTTGTTCCTTTTTGGCACTGTGTCTACACAGTGCAGACAACAAAACGATTTGTTTTAAGCACGGTTCTCAACCGTTTTAGGCTTGAGGCGCACTCCTTGATAGACTTCAGGCGTTTGAGGAAAATGCCTGCTCTTTGTTTTCACTTGCTTTTTGGCTTGAAAGGATCTCAAGGCACCCCAGGGTCTGGTTGGGATTCATTGGTTTAAAACATCTGAAAACTGCACAAATTGTTCTCTTCTTATGCTTTATTTAATGCAGCTCTACTCTTAAGTTTGATACAGTAATTTTTAACTATTACTGCGTAGCAAACTTTTTTCTGCAGCTTTTGTTTTGTGTAGTGTTAAGGCTGGTATGGTTTTTACATTATGCATCATGCAGTGGCAAGTATAATTTCTCATAGGATGTTGTAGCTTCACATATCCAAATGAATTCAGCTGTCTGAATGGCTTTCAGAGGGTGCTTTCCAAAGGATTCTGTGTAACTGAAAATGTACTGTACTTAAAAGATGAAAATTATGTACTATTTATCTTGTTATATTTATAACTTTTTCTTTTTAGGTTGTGTTGATGATATTACAACATATTCTCCAAACCTAACACAGTGCTCAACCCCCATTGATATAATCCAAAAAGAGAAAGAGGTAAGTTACAGTAACTCGTAAGGAGATTTCTTTTATTGTGGTTTTCTTCCATTGGACTAAAGAAGCTTGTTTGTGGATCAGGTATGTGCACTGATGAGTGCAGTCAGCTTATATATTTTCGTGTTATAATTTAGGCCTCTGATGCAACCGTTAACATTATTTTTCTGTGGTTGTCATGACAGAATAATCTGGTCATATATTTTTATTAAGTCTGTGTCTCTGCTGCACAAGACCCTTTTTTTTCCCTCAAATAGTTGGTAGTTGGTCAATAGCTTTATTGCGATGTTTTCTGCAAAAACTTTCAGTTGTTTTGCTACTTGTTTTCTGCTCGTCTACCAATCAGGTATATAGTTATGTTTTCCTAAGCAGATGGAGGCAGTATAATTAAGTCTTTGAAAGATGGCCCTTGTATATACAAGGAATTTGTCACCTCCCAGTCTTCAGTTGTTTCTCCTGTGTAGAAGGTAGAATAGTTCCATTTCTAGTTGGCTTAAGAAAAGAAAAAGAAAAGCCCTGTTTAAAATCGTGGAAATTGTTCCCTTTGTCATTGTACCTGTTGAGTACTGTCTGTACCAAAGGGGAAGCTGCACTTTCTTGGTTTGTTATTGAGATTCTGTTTTTGTTTTTGTTTTCTGCTCAGAGCTTATTTTTGTGGGCACTGTATGCATCTTAGCAAGCACTCCCCTGTTTGCAGTCTACCTAGATATCTATGGTCTCTGTTGCAATCTTCTCCAAATTCCAAATATGTAATTAAATAGTACTCATAACACCACTGCTAAGTAGGGAAGTATTATCCCCACTAACCCCATTGAACTGGTTGGATAGAACAGAGTTGATAGAAAATTAAAGGACCCATTTTTTCTGTTTAAAATTTCATACCTAAAGAAGGATTAATAGTGTTGGAGCCTTAGTTTTCAATACTTTGATTAAGCATAGGATGCTTTATCAGTAGTGACTTTATGGTGAACTATATTATGAATTTTGTTTTAGATGTGTACTCTGAAGGGGCAGTTTTGCAAGTTTTGAAATCTAGTTTTGCAAATCCTGAAGTAGATTTCAATGATTCAAAAATGAAATATTTGAATCAACAAACTTGCTCTTGGTCTCCCAGAAAGTTATTGCCGGAGCTGGGACTTGAATCGTCAGACAACACAAGAAGTACGCAGAAACTCTTAATCATTTATTGAAAGTCTGTAAATGACTGAAAATAGAAGTGTTGAATTGTGACAAAATCTACATTAAGTAACTTCAGATGAGATTAAGAGCAGAAAATACAGCTATGTGCTATAAGGATTTATATTTTAAGTCAAAATGCTTTTATTGTTGTTGTATGAAACCATTTCCTTTTCTACTTCTTCTGTTGTTCACTAGAAAATATTGCAGAAAAGTTCAGGTTTATTTGACTTGGTGACTAAGACCTTTACTGGTAGTCCATCTTTAGCTCCATCTCCAGTAAAAACAACTGACAGCACAGGTTAGTGCTACTACCTTTGCGCTATTATATTTTTGGGGGGCAACTGTTTTTTGGGTTTCTTTGTTTTAAGTGAGGGTGCTAATACCATTTCATACTTACAGTCAAACAGTCACTTGCAACACATCAGAAATCTGCAATACTTAAAGACATTGATTCTAACAAAACAAAGCAGCGTGTGGTAGAAGAAAAAAGCTCACATGGCATTGACATTGCAGACACTAAGGATCTTGTTGCTTCTAGCAAGCAAGATGATGTCTCAGAACGTTTTGAAACCACAAGTCAAAGTCCTGCTGACACTTCTGAAGATGAGGATATTGATGTGTCCATGGGGTCTCCTGTTCTTTCGGAAGAAGCAAAACTGTCTCCTGTATGCTTGTAAGTAGAGCTGCACTTTTTGGTGATTTTTAAATTTGCAAAAGAGAACAGTTTGTCATCCTGTATCAAATTTGACCTGAATTCACAACTTGATTAGTGTTGGCTAGTAAAATGTTTCAGGGTAGTTTAACAAAACTAGGGGGGGTGGAAGGAAGTAATAGTGCTTCACGTTATCCAGTAGTCTAGTGTTTTAGGTACTCTTCCCAGGATGTGTGCAAGCTAGTTAAATTCTTCCTCTTCCTGAAGGAATTAATCTGTAACTGCCATGCTCCAGGGGAATATAAGGGGGGTGTGTGTGTGCGTGTGTGTGTGTGTGTTTGCAACCCTGTCAATAAGGTGTGTTTGTTTCATTTTGTAGAACTAACTAACCTTATACCCAGGGATCCAGGTTTTCCACTTTGTGTGGAAAAACACAGATTTTCCCCTTTAATGGAAAAAATAACAGACGTTCCGCTTCCAAGGAGAAACACACAGATTTTCCACCTGCCATTTGCTCCTGGAGGCCAGGAGGTGAAAATAAGCTGTGGTTTTTGCGTCCTACTACTTGCTGCTGATTGGATGGTACCCAAAAACTGTGGCTTATTTGTAACTGCAAAACTGGCCATCAGGAGCGAGCTGCGCGTGGTGGGGCTGACAGCCCCAAGCAGCAGTAGTGGGGTGTGCGGGGAGCTCCAAGACTAAAGGAGCCACACAGGTGT